GCTGCTCTAACATGTTTTGTTTGCTTTATTTGTTGTTATTTTTATAGTTGCAAACATGTACATGCACAAATGCATTTACACACAAACTATGTGCAACAATCCAAAAAAGTTCAATCTGGTCCTCTGGACATTCAAAAACAACAAAAAACAAAACAAAGCAAAACAAATATAGAAACGTTTCGTCTCTCATCCAAGAGACTTCCTCAGTCCGAGGTGCTGTTTTCAGCTCAGTCTCTTAAATAGCACCTTCTCCTACACAAATCCTACACAAAACAGGCTCTAGAGCAATGTGGATATCCTAACTGGGCCTTCCTGAAAGCAGAGAAGAAACCCAAACAGGACTCCAGTCAGCCATCACGTGAAAAGGAGGAACCCAGACCCAGACCAGTGGTCATTCCGTATGTTGAGGGAGTATCAGAGAAACTGAGACGTTTATTTTCTAATCATAACGTCCCAGTGGCTTTTAAACCCCAAAATACATTACAGCAAAGACTGGTTTATCCCAAAGATCCAGTCCCCCGGCACAAACAGAGTAATATTGTGTATGCTGTTCAGTGTCAGGAGGGCTGTGATCAGTCTTACATCGGGGAAACTTAACAGCCGCTGGCCAAAAGGATGGCCCAGCACAGAAGATTAACATCATCAGGCCAGGATTCTGCAGTCTACACTCATCTCCAGGCCAGCGGTCACTCTTTCAGGGATGAAGATGTGCACATCCTGGACAGAGAGGAACGATGGTTTGAGAGAGGAGCAAAGGAGGCCATCTTTGTGAAAAGAAATCGTCCATCATTAAACAGGGGTGGAGGCCTCCGGGTTCAACTGTCCCCCTCTTACAATGCTGTGATTGCTAGTATCACTCAGCCCTCTGTGAATAGTAAACAGCCATCAGTGTGCTAATGATCCATTGTTAGGCTGATGGTCCTTCTTGAGCATGTGATCAGCTGGTTTTGGTTGTCAGCAGCAAACTGGTTGATCCACTCTGAGAAGGTGCTATTTAAGAGACTGAGCTGAAAACAGCACCTCAGACTGAGGAAGTCTCTTGGATGAGAGACAAAACGTTTCTATATTTTTTTGCTTTGTTTTTTTTTTTTTTTTTATTTCTATGGAATTTCCAGAGGACCAGATTGAACTTTTTTGGATTTTTCTACCTGGATTATTGAGCATGCATCAGGATATGTGCAACAATCTATTTTTAGAAGAACAGCAGGTAAAAATAAAATAAATTGCTTATTTAAGTAATTTTCCACATATCCTATTATTTCCATAGAGGGTATTATGGTAATAATAATAAGGCAGGTTATAAATTATGCCTGTGTATTTAACAATAGGCCTGTTTAAAATAACCAGCCAATTAAGGAAGGCCAAGGCACAGATCAGCATTCCTCTATTTTTACTCAAGAGATGATATTACGCACTGACTAATTTGCTTTGAAGGGAGAAACTGATGCCAAACTTTTGTCCACAGGAGAGATTGAGGATACCCACGTACCGCTGACATCTGGATATATATATTTTTTTGTTGCTGCAATTTTGAATTGTAGTTAAAACCAAAACAAAAATCATTGGACACTTATTTGAGAGTTTCTTAAAAACTCCAATCAATTAGTATATTGAATGGAATACAGTAGTTCCTCATTTATCGCAGAGGTTATGTTCCAGCCCCCCCCCCCCGGCAATAAGTAAAAATCTGAGAAGTAGTGACTTTATATTTATTTTAGTATTGATATATATTTTAAGGCTTTAGAAGCCCTTTCCACTCTCTTGCAGTGTTCTAAACTCTTAAACCTACGTAATTTTAACAACATACATACAGTAATGTATATAAAGCTATTAAATTTTACTCACCAGCTAGGCAGAACAGCAGCAGCTCTCAGTTCCACTCGGATCCACTCCAAATCGGTCCAGTTTATGCAGACCTACCCTGCAGCAAAAAAGCCCACAATCAGTGTTCTAATCTCAAACCTACTAATTTTAACAACATATTTATGTAGCTACTAAATTTTACTTACCAGCACGTCTCCGCTCGGAGGTCATCATAGGGCTGATTGAAAGAGATGAAAAAAGTCCTGATGGGCTCCAGATGGAGCGTTGGACCTTCAGAGGCGTGTGTCCCGCTCCGAAATCCTTTTCGACCGGCTACCAGCTCACAAGATTCACCGATAGTTCTGGAGGTCTGGCTTTGCTTTAGTTTTGTGCAGCCTTTGAACACCAAAGTGCTTTTTTTTGGGGGGGGCTTGGGGTGGCTAGCGCGGGACCAATGGTCTGATTGAGTGGTCCGAGAAATGGGAAAAAAGTCCCAATGGGCTCTAGATGGAGCCCCGGGCCTTCAATGGCACATGGCCCACTTGGAAGTCCTCGCGAGCCGGCTAGTAGCTCTAAAGATTTACAGATGGGTCTGGAGGTCTGATTTCACTAGTTTTGGTCTGTTTTGGTGGGTTCCGTGTGGCTCTCTGCATCCGCTGGGCACTGAAGTTACTAATAAGCGCCAAACTTTTTCCGATCAGATCAAAACTTTCCGTGTAGTATTTCAGCAGAAGGCAATGGGGCTTCTGAGTGGGGCACTGTTGGCTTCTGGGAAATGTAGTTGTTTTGAGATGGGATACTGTATGGGCTTATTGAAATAAAATTTCAAAATGGCAGTGCCTGTCTGAAGTATTTTATTTTTTTCGTTAACTTTTTACTCTACAGTATCCTGTACTGCCCTAATCATGTGAGTAATATTAAAGTTGACAGTCATGTGTCCTGTACTATTTTTTTCTCATGTTCAATCTTACTTTGAAAAAACATTATAGAGCGAGGCCGTGAAAGTTGAACTGTGAAGTAGCGAGGGACTACTCTATGTTAATATAGTTAGCTTAGCAAATCTACAGACATATGGACTGATTAGGTTAGGAAGTCATTATGTTTCTAATCAAATACATTGGTCCAGAGTTAAATGGCAATTCACGTGTAACTTGCACAGGTTAATGACTCAAATAAGGTGTACTTTGTACTGTCTACAATATTTTTTTATTCATATATCACTTAAAATGATTTTATTTTTATTTTTCTCAGAAAACATGAAAAGAAGAGGTGGTTGGTCACCAATGTCACCAGTCAATGTCATGAATGAGATTCTTATCCAATAACTGTCTATAAAGTCTGAGATGAACATTTAAACCAGAGGGGCCCCAAAGATCAATTGCAACGTTGAAGCGTGACCACAGCGTTTGAAAAAAGAAAAAGCTAGTTGAATTCATAATAAGACAAGTACAAAATTCAATGATTGTCCTTGTCTTTAATTTTTTGGGCAAGTGCACATGCAAATGTAGTGCTAAGCCCATCCAAGAGCAGCACCTGACAGCATGCACATTTCATTTACATATCATTATGGAAACCAGGTTGCCAGAGCAGAACAGATGAAAGCCCTGCAGCTGTGTTCTGTCATATGTCATCTTAGTGGTAACGGAGTGTGAAGGCAGCAGGAACAAGATAGTCCAATTACATGTATGATGCTATCTTAGCTCTTAACAACCTGTGGAGAGTCAAACCAACTGAGTCATGCAAGAAATGTACGTGTGCCCCCACGCGCACACACAGACATAATTGCTTTTGCAAAAGTACTACTACATGAAAGAGTTACTTAAACCAAGATCAAGATCATGACTTGCAATGGGTAATATACTTCTCCATAAGGTACAGCTGAGAATCATCTTTCATGTGCATGTCCTGTGTGTCAACAAAGTGCTTTTCCTGATTTGTAGTGATCTTTAGTGCCACACAACATTTGGTGAAATGGACTGTGCTGCAGTAAAATCTGCTTTCACAAGACACTTTGTTTGAAAGCATAAATACTTGTATGGCAGCTACATTCATTATCCCATTATCCCTTATCAATAGTGGTATGGTATATTTTGCAGGAAATGACACTGTGTACTGGACAGACATGGGGCTTAACAAAATATCCCGTGTCAAGCGTGATCAGACCTGGAGGGAGGACATCATTACTACTGGCATCAGTCGAGTGGAAGGCATCGCTGTGGATTGGATTGCTGGTCGGTATTTTAACTCCCCAGATTCTGGAGTTATTACCACAGGCTGTCAAGTTGCTATTGATTGTTGAAAATTCCTCCTTTAGGCGTAATGTCTCTAGTTATGGCAGTGAGTAAATGCATATATATATATATTTTTTTTTCTGTACTGCCGATATGTATTAAGCTTTAGAGGTGGACTAAGAATTTTTATACATTGTAAAATTAATAATAGCACAAATGCAAAAGAAATGTAACTTTTAACATATTGCATAAGTAAGCTCATGGTAACGTCTTTGTGTGTGTGTCTGCATTGTTTCCTAAAAGACATTTAACCCTATCCATATTTACACATCTGACTGTCTCTTATCTGTACACAGGTAACATTTATTGGTCAGACCATGGTTTTAATCTAATAGAAATCTCCCGTCTTAATGGTGCATACCGCTCCATAGTCATATCAGAAGGACTTGATCAACCACGAACTATTGCTGTACATCCACAGAAAGGGTAACCACACACACACACACACGTATATGTATATATATATAT